TATGTGAACCCTTTGGACTTAATGCCTGGTTGACCCTCCTTTGGCAGCAATAACCTCAACCAAACGTTTCCTGTTTGGATCAGACCTGCACAACGATCTGGAGTCATTTCACTGGACCACTCCTCTTCACAAAACTGTTTCAGTGTAGCAATATTCTTGGGATTACTCTGGTGTGAATCGCTCTCTTAAGGTCATTTGCCACAGCATTTCAATGGGGTTGAGGTCAGGACTCATGACTGAGACCCACTCCTGAACCGTATTCTGAAGACCCTGTTGCAGCCATTGTTTTGTTGAATTACTTGTATGCTTTGGGTCATTGTCCATGTTGCATCACCCATCCTCTAGCGGAGCTTCAATGGCGGACAGATGGTCGTACGTTTTCCTGCAAAATGTCTTGATAAACTCTGGAATTCATTTTCCCATCAATGACAACAATCCGTCCAGGCCCTGAGGCAGCAAAGCACCCCTTGGAAACCATGATGCTCCCTCCGCCATGTTTCACAATTTGGATGATGTTTTGATGTCACTTATGCTGTGCCTTTTTTTTCCACACATAGTGTTGTGTGTTCTTCCCAAACAGCATCAATCTTGGTTTCATCTGTCCACAGTATAATTTGCCAGTAGTGCTGTGGAATATCCAGGTGCTCTTTTGCAAACTTCGAACGTGCTGCAATATTCTTTTTGGACAGCAATAGCTTCCTCACGTGGTGTCCTCCCATGTATTATCCATTCTTGTTTAATGTTTTCCTTATTGTAGATGTGTCAACAAAAATGTTAGCATGTGCAGAGATTTCTGTAGGTCTTTAGCTGACACTCTGGGATTCTTTCTTTACCTCATGCAGCATTCTGCGCTGTGCTTTTTTGCAGTCATTTTTACAGGACGACCACGCCTAGGGAGAGTAGCAACAGTGCTAAACGTTCTCCATTTGTAGACAGTCTGTCTTACCGTGGACACATGAACATCAAGCTTTTTTGGAGATACTTTTGTAACTCCTTTCCAGCTTCATGCAAGTCAACAATTCTTGATGGTAGGTCTTCTGAGAGCTCTTTTCTGCGAGGCATGGTTCACATCAGACAGTGCTTCTTGAAACAGTAAACCCAAAACAGGTGTGTGTTTTTTAAGGGCAGGACAGCTGTCAGCAACACATCCAATATCATCACACTGATTGGAGTCAAGGTTGGCTCATTTCCTGGCTCCAATTAGCTCTGGGAGAAGTCATTAAGCTCGGGGGGGCCTCACAGAACTTTTTCCTCCCTGCACTGTGAATGTTTACATGTTATGTGCAATTAAACCATGGCAACATCTAATGTTTGTGTAGTATTATGTTCAGCAGACTGTGTTCTTCTATTGTTGTGACTTAGATGACGTTCAGAGCACATTTTATGCCCAATTCACAACTGCAAAATTCCATGTAATTTTCTAAGGGGTTCACATACTTTTTCTTGCAACTGTATGGTGTGTTATTTGTATGTTTGTACCCACAGTATAGCCCAGGAACAATAGTGCGCATTTTGTTTTGTTTACCTAAAACACAGACATTGATATCAATTAAAACATTTTTTTTTTAATCCTGACCTTTGACCCCAACCTTGACCCAAACTCTAACCCAAGGCACTGAACTAGATCAAACCTTGATCTAGGTATTTTTTTTAAAATTTGTCTTTGTTTTTTTAACAAAGTTTTTTTCCCTCTATGCAAGGATACAATGTATCTTTCTCCTCCATTCATAGAGAAAAAACAAGGGGGCCGGGCTGTACATTGACTGATCACTGTGATAGGCTATCACAGCGATCATGTGACCCAGAATTGGGAGTCCCGGGTCCGATCCCTACAGCAGAAATACTGCTACAGGGTGGCATGGCTGAGCAAAATCACATATATATACCCGATTTTGCAAGCACGCGCCACCATCGGCGGCTTCAGCTGTTGATCAACGGGTCCCGGCTGGTGATTGATATGGAAAGGACACATCTGTCACGTACCTGTATACAAACCCTGAGATGATGAGGGTTGCCTCTTGCACCGTTCCCATCTTAGCACCCCTGGATGTTGAGACAGGGACTGCAGGGGCAAAGAAAAGCCACAAGTGCCAAGGTGTAGACATTGTGGCACTTGATTTACTAAAACTGGAGAGTGCAAACTATGGTGCAGCTCGGCATAGAAACTAACCAGCTTCCAGGTTTTTTTTTCTGTCAAAGCTTATCTGGACAAGCTGATTGGCTACCATGCACAGGGGCACCAGATTTTGCACGCTCCAGTCTTAGTAAATGATCAACCCCTGTGAGTGGTAACTGGGGAGCGCTGGAATCTGTTGAGCTGGACATGCAATTCCAGTTGATGGTGGAGACAGACACATCCCACAACTGGTCAGGTGACAGCCGGATGGAAGGACACCAAGATGTAAGCAGAATCGGAGCCAGGAGCAGGCAGAAGTCGGCAACAACTGGGCAACAAGGTACAGAGCCATGAGGCAGAAACGAGGTCAGTAGTCTAGGATGGGGTTGGTAGCAGACAGAAAACATGAGCAGGAAAGGATCCAAGAGCAAGATCAGAGTGGTCAGTAACAGGATCAAGGATGTTCATCGAGACTGGACCACAGGGACATGATGAAGACCACACAGCAAAGAACTAGTGCAGACTTCAGGTTATTATTATTATTATTATACAGGATTTATAAAGCGCCAATAGTTCGCTCAGCGCTGTACATTACAGAGGGGACAGAAACATGTGACAGAACAATACCAATACAATGCAAAACATGAGGGGTTCGAGGTCCCCTGCTCCTTGGAGCTTACAATCTAGGAGGGAGGGGATGGTGGCACAGGAGGAGATAGCTGTGGGGGATGGAGTGGTAGGAAGAGTGGAGGAGGTCGGCAAGTTAGCAGGGGGTGGGGTAGGCTTCCCTGAAGAGATGGGTTTTCAGGGTGTGCCTAAAGGAGAGGAGAGTAGGTGATAATCTGATGGGTTGGGGCAGGGAGTTCCAGAGGATGGGTGACACCCTGGAGAAGTCCTGGAGGTGGGCATGGGAGGAGGAGACCAGGGAACTAGAGAGAAGGAGGTCTTGTGAGGAGCGGAGTGTGCATGCTGGGCGGTACTTGGATATTAGGTCAGTGATGTAGTTCGGGGCAGTATGGTGGACGGCTTTGTACGTCAGCGTTAGGATTTTGAATTTGATCCGTTGTGCAATCGGAAGCCAGTGGAGGGATTGGCAGAGGGGGGTGGAGGACACTGAGTGGAGGCCAGTGGAGGGATTGGCAGAGGGGGGTGGAGGACACTGAGTGGAGGCCAGTGGAGGGATTGGCAGAGGCGGGTGGAGGACACTGAGTGGAGGCCAGTGGAGGGATTGGCAAAGGGGGGGGGGTGGCGGAAACGGAGCGGTTGGAAAGGTGGATGAGTCTGGCAGCCGTATTCAGGATGGACTGAAGCGGGGATAGCCAGTGCGAGGCAGGCCAGTGAGGAGGGAGTTGCAGTAGTCGAGTCGTGATATGATGAGGGAGTGGATGAGCTGTTTAGTGGTTTCTGTGGTTAGGAACGTGCGTATTTTTGTTGCGGAGGTGGAGTCTGCATGTTGCGGAGGTGGAGTCTGCATGTTGCGGAGGTGGAGTCTGCATGTTGTGGAGGTGGAGTCTGCACGAGTTTGTTAAAGATTGGACTTGGGGCTGGAAGGATAGGTTGGAGTCCAGAATGACACCAAGTACTCTGGCCTGCGGGGCGGGTTTGATGGTGGCGTTGTTGGATGTGATGGAGAAGCCAATGGGGGGTGGTGTCCGGGCTGGGGGTTTAAGTAGACCACTTGCCAGTAGTAGACACCATGCCTACACACATGCGCATTTGCCAGGCAGTGCAAGTTAGCCCGATAGCTGGCACCATGTTCCTGGTTGGGAGAAGACTCAAGCCTGGTACACATGGAACGAATATCGGCCGGTGTCTGCTGGTTCGACAGAAACCAACATTTGGCCTGTGTGTACGACAGCCTATCCGTCATAAGCCAAGCATCCAATGTCTGTCCAATGGACATGCTGGAAAACCAGCAGCTGATCTGCGCTTTCAGCCAATGGTTGGTGCGTTCTGTTGGGGGGGAAGTCCCTCTTTCAGAACACAATAGCTCAGTGGGGAGATCGCTGTACCAACATCTCATAGTTAGTACAGCGAACTCCTCCGTTTTTTTTCGTGTAGCCCTCTGAGTTGAATGAAGAAAACCTCCCTGTGTGTACCAGGCTTTAGAATGGTTTAGCTATCGATCTGTTGAATAGTGATGGCTTTCATGTGCTCGATGAACACACGAATGGTAAGGGCTCTTCGCCCGCTGTGCCCCACAATGCCCTGTGCTCTCACGGTGCCTTTTGATTGGCTAAAGCAATGCACCTGACCACAGGTCAGATGCAATGCTTTGGCCAATCACAGCACAACTGGGCAGAGCTAGCGGTGACGTTACCGCTTGCTCCGCCCAATTGTTTACATCTGAGCAGCAAATATCAGATTGCAGCGAGTGCTCAGCGGGTGAAGACGTTTTTTTTAATGTGACAACCCGGACGTCGAGATTGACGATGGATTTCAACGATGGAACCATTTTTTTGCTTTTTTTTTTACCACTTGCCTACCGGGCACTTATACCCTCTTCTTTACCAGGCCAATTTTCAGCTTTCAGCGCTGCCGCACTCTGAATGACAATTGCGCGGTCATGCAAGATTGTACCCATATGAAATTTTTATCATTCTTTTCTCACAAATAGAGCTTTCTTTTGGTGGTATTTAATTGCCGCTGAGCTCTTTACTTTTTGTGCTATAAATGAAAAAATTACAAAAAATTGGAAAAAAAAAAGGTTTCTTTGTTTCTATTATAAAATTTTTCAAACAGGTAATTTTTCTTGTTCACTGATGTGCGTTGATGAGGCAGCACTGATGGGCACTGATAGGAACTGATAGGCAGCACTGAAAGGCAGCACTAATGAGATAGGCGGCATTGATAGGCGGCATTGATAGGTGGCACTGATAGACAGCACTGAGAGGTGGCACTGACTGGCGGCACTGCTAGGCATTGTGGCACAACTGCTGGGCACTGACTGGCAGCACTGCTAGGCTGCACTGATGGGCACTGGTGGGTGGCACTGGTGGGCACAGGTGGGTGGCACTGGTGGGCACAGATGGGTGGCACTGCTGGGCACAGGTAGGTGGCACTTCTGAGCACAGGTGTGTGGCACTGCTGGGCACAGGTGGGCGGAACTGGTGGGTGGCACTGCTGGGCACAGGTGGGCGGAACTGGTGGGTGGCACTGCTGGGCACCGATTATCAGGGCACTGATCATCAGTGCCCTGATGATCGGTGCCGATCCCTGCTCTGACAACTGCCACTTCTCGGCAGCACTTTCCTCACGCTGTCAAGTGCAGCCGAGAACCGGCAATTGCATTTCCCGGTGATCAGCGTGTCATTGGACACGGCTGATCACGTGGTAAGAGGCCGCTGTGATTGGCCTTTTACCACATCACGTGATCAGCTGTGTCCGTAGGACACAACGATCACGGAGATCGCCGGGTGACGCCTTCCCAGAACTGGCCGGCCGCAATGTAGCTGTCATTCGGCTATCTGAAGTCTGCAGGTGGTTAATAAAGGAATTGTCAAAAAAATGTATTTTTATTCACATTTTGCACTTTTTTGCTTAATGAGTAGGGGCACAACAATATGTACCCCATACTCATTCACAAGGAGGGGGGGCTGGGATCTGGGGGCTCCCTTGTTAAAGTCACCCCCCGCAGAACCCCACAACCACAGCCCAGGGTTGTGCGGAAGAGGCACATCGGCATGGGGATACTGTCCCAATGCTGAGGGCGCATGGACTGGTGAGCCACAGGGAGGGGGAGGGGGAGGTGCCCGTTTGTCACCCCCCCCCCCTTTCCTGGCCTGCGCTTGGATCAAGGGCCTGCTATGGCTTTTAGGGGAAACCCCAAGCACTTAGAAAAAAAAAATTACTGTTGGGTCCCTCCTAACCTTCCTACCAGACCTAAAAGGTCTGGTATGGATAAGAGGGTGGACCCACGCTGTTTTTTTTTTTTTATATTATATTTATATATTTTCTATATTATATTTATATATTTTTTATATTATATATAAATTTTTTTTATATATATAAAAACGTCATTTTAAAAAAAAAATGTCAGTCCTACTGCATCCGGTTCTATGCATTGTACAGATGTGCAACGTTGCAGGTAGTTTAAGGGGAACCCCACCCCCAGGCATGATATTTAAAGGAATTTTTCTTTTTTTTTTGCTTTAAGAAATGAAAAATGACTGTCCCTTTAGAAACATTGCTTTTTGGAGTTTTTTTTCACTGATTCCTGTCCCTCAGGGCAGTCCCCAATAACTGGCATAGAAGCCTTCAAAAACGGGCGCTTTTGATTGTACAAATTCAAGTCCCGTAGACTTGCAATGAGTTCGAAGTTTGCGGCCGAACTTTTGTTAGGTTTAAATGTTCGACTACGAACTGAACATGGGGGGTGGGGGGGTGTTAAGTCCATCGCTATTGTTTATTTTATTTATTTTTATTTATTTCAGGTACCTATATAGCGCCGTCAATTTACGCAACGCTTTTACATATATTGTACATTCACATCAGTCCCTAACCCTCGAGGGGTGTACAATCTAAGGTCCCTGACCCTCAAGGGGCGTACAATCTAAGGTCCCTAACTCACATTCATACATACACATATTAGGGACAATTTAGACAGGAGCCAATTAACCTACCAGCATGTCTTTGGAGAGTGGGAGGAAACCGGAGTACCCAGAGGAAACCCACGCAGGCACAGGAAGAACATGCAAACTCCAGGCAGGTGGTACTACCGTGGTTGGGATTCAAATCTAGTACTGCCAGGTGGGAGTGCTAACCATTTAGCCACTGTGCTGCCCCATTGAAGTGTTCTTTCCATATCTAAGGACAGTGCCATCTTGTTATTTCTATAATTGGGCATTTTCTCTTTTTCTCGGAGGACCTAAATACGTTTTTTAAACATTTATGTAAATAATTATTAGGATTGTATTAGTATAAAAGTTTTGGTCACTGTCTCCATATGTGCCTGGAAAGGCCAATGCTATAGAAAAACAAATGTTTTTTTTTTTTCTTGGGTTTTTACATAGACTAGCGGATATGGTACAGTGAAGGTCCTACATATAAAAACTCCGATGTGAGAATTGTGCTCACAAAGGTACCGTGCTCCCTCCCTGAGGGGCTACTATGAGGTCTCTGTAACAGAACCGACCCAGACAGTACTTCCGTTAGAATACCACTTCCCCGTCTGAACACCGACCACAGACACCACAGCCAACTATTCAAGACTGGACGACACCAGTCCGGAAGTAAACCAGGAGGTAGACTAGTTTATTTGAACACGCATACAAGATATATACACTCAGAGGACAGTCCCCCCTCCCTGCATAATGACACAGGGCGAGGCAATCTACATTTAGTAACAAGAGACACACAGGTATTCAAACTTCACACCAGCAGTCTCATCAGGAGGGAGGGCTGCTGGAGACACCCCCCCACTAAGCTAATACACATAACATTAAACAATCCACAAACCCCCACCCCACCTATTTCCTAAACATGTCTACACAGCCTGAGACAAAAGACAAAGCCCCCACAATATTAGGACAGATCACCCTGTACCCCTAACAGGCACAGGGTGACTTACACATAAGAGGGATATGGGGAGCTGAGCCAGGGGTCTCCCCACCTCTCCAATGTGAGCTGTGTTCCATGGGCCCCCCACCCAAAGTGACTCCCGTTACAGTCTCCCCATGCAATCTGTTTTCATGGATCTCAGACGTTTCATCGGCCATCTCCGGGATGATTGGGTTGAACAGCTACCATTAGCGGAATTTGCAAACAATTCCTACCATGGTTGTACATCTCCATTTTTCACCATCTATGGACTTCACCCGTTGTTTACTCCTGAACTGTCAGTAGACTCGTCCCTGCCAACTATAAACGTGAGATTGTCTGCTTTACAAAAAAAAAACCAAAGAAGTGGAAATAAACTTTTATTTTAACTTGTACCTACAGGTAAGTGTATAGTAAGGCTTACTTATGTATCTCCTAAACGTGCACCAGTTAGGAAATATTCACATCACGCTCTAGCTCAGGGGTCTCCAATCTGTGGCCCAAGGGCCCTTTGCTAGCCTTTATCCAGCCCTTGGGGTACTATTCCTCCCAATGATAGAGGCACTAATCCTTCCACTGACACCAACAATGGGGCACTATCTCTTCCACTGATACTAACGGTGGTGTACTATTCTTCCCACTAATACCAACCTACTCAGGGGCGGACTGACAACTCATGAGGCCCCAGGGCAATAGGGGATCATGGGGCCCCTGTGTCCTTGCCCACACTCAAAAAAGCTTATACAAAAAAGGTACCAGGGGCATTTTATGGGGCCCCCTACTGACCCCAGGCCCTCGGGCAATGCCTGAGTGCTCGAATGGTCAGTCCACCCCTGAACCTACTACTCCTACTGACCACCAACCCTGAGGCCAAAGATCAACTTCTTTCAAACAGGGGTGGCCATACACTGATCGAAATTCCTCCAGTCCCTGCTGAAACAGCCAAATCTCAATCAGTGTATGGCCAACAATGGGGCACTATTTCTTCTAAAACTAATGGTGGTGTATTATTCTTCCCACTAATACCAACAATGGGGCACTACTCTTCCTACTGACCACCAACCCTGAGGCCATGTTTATTCTCACTGATGCTGGACCTGGGACATTTTCTACCCCAGATGCCTGCAATCCAGCACTCCTAATGTCTGAAGAACACTTAACTGGCCCTTTGAAGTTTGGAGACCCCTGCTCTAGCTGATTATGTTGCCACGCATGTACAGTGCATTCTGGGAAAACTGAGTGTGCCATCAATGTAGAACGCACTGTGCCATGATCTTGACTCCCATGCGCATGTGTGGAAGTGATGTCATCCCAGCCCAACCATTCAAATGAGCGGAGAGCATGAACCCAGAAGGAAGAGAAGAAAAAGATCAGTGGCTGCAGCTGCCAATCGAGAAAAGTTTTTCAACATGTCAATCAAAGATCAGCTTCTTTCAAGCAGGGATGGCCATACACTGATCGAAATTCCTCCAGTCCCTGCTGAAACAGCCAAATCTCAGTGTATGGCCAACAATGTGGCACTATTTCTTCTAATGCTAACAATGGGTGTACTATTCTTCCCACTAATACCAACAATGGGGCACTATCTCTCCCACTGATACTAATGGTGGTGTACTAATCTTCCTCCTACCAACCATCAACCCTGAGGCCATGTTTATTCTCACTGATGCTGGACCTGGGACATTTTCTACCCCAGATGCCCACAATCTGGCCCTCCTAATGTCTGAAGAACAGTTAACTGGCCCTTTGAAGTTCGGAGACCCCTGCTCTAGCTGATTATGTTGCTACGCATGTACAGTGCATTCTGGGAAAACTGAGTGTGCCATCAATGTAGAACGCACTGTAGAACGCACTGTCCATGATCTTGACTCCCATGCGCATGTGTGGAAGTGATGTCATCCCAGCCCAACCATTCAAATGACCGGAGAGCATGAACCCAGAAGGAAGAGAAGAAAAAGATCAGTGGCTGCAGCTGCCAATCGAGAAAGTTTTTCAACATGTCAATCAAAGATCAACTTCTTTCAAGCAGGGATGGCCATACACTGATCGAAATTCCTCCAGTCCCTGCTGAAACAGCCAAATCTCAGTGTATGGCCAACAATGAGGCACTATTTCTTCTAATGCTAACAATGGTGTACTATTCTTCCCACTAATACCAACAATGGGGCTGATACTACTAATCTTCCTACCTACCAACCATCAACCCTGAGGCCATGTTTATTCTCACTGATGCTGGACCTGGGACATTTTCTACCCCAGATGCCTGCAATCCAGCCCTCCTAATGTCTGAAGAACAGTTAACTGGCCCTTTGAAGTTTGGAGACCCCTGCTCTAGCTGATTATGTTGCTACGCATGTACAGTGCATTCTGGGAAAACTGAGCGTGCCATCAATGTAGAACGCACTGTGCCATGATCTTGACTCCCGTGCGCATGTGTGGAAGTGATGTCACCCCAGCCCAACCATTCAAATGACCGGAGAGCATGAACCCAGAAGGAAGAGAAGGAAAAGATCAGTGACTGCAGCTGCCAATCGAGAAAAGTTTTTCAACATGTCAATCAAAGATCAACTTCTTTCAAACAGGGATGGCCATTCACTGATCGAAATTCCTCCAGCCCCTGCTGAACCAGCCAAATCTCAATCAGTGTATGGCCAGTTTTATTTGGAGCCCTCAAGATTGGCTGCAGAGGCTTGGCAAAATGGCATTAAACCACTACCCAGAAAGGCAGACTTATCAATGTATTAGCTGGGGATCTGGAAATAAAGAAAACACTTTGGAATGCAAATAATTTAGTTTATAATACAAGCAAATTACATTTTCAATAAAAGCTTCATAAGAAACAAAAAAAAAAAAAAAAGAAGAGAATCCTTAAGGAAAACACATTTCAGTCTTAGGAACTTGTCCAAAAAATGACTATGAAAGGTAAAATATTCCATTGCTCCCTAGTTGTGTGTCTGAGGGATATACAATGCATCCGTCCATTACGTTCCTGTTTGCTCATGAATTGTAGTAAGTTTCTTTTTCAAAGTATCATTGTATCTTGCTACTAGACTGTTGGAAGACTTGGGGTGTGAAACTGCTGGGGCACACAAAATTCAGTGGCATAGCCTCTACCCCTTTAATACCCCCCTTCTCTTCAAGTTTCCTCTCTGTATCTGAGGATGAAGACGGTGAACCCTCTGGTGTCTGATAAGCATTGTCCAATTCAGAATACAATTTGTTTCCAGTGTGAACCTTCAGGTGTCGGATAAGGTGTATCTTCTGTATAAAAGCTTTATCACATTCAGAACATTGAAACGGCTTCTCTCCGGTGTGTAGCTTCTCGTGTCGGATAAGATGTGTCTTCTGGGCAAAAGCTTGGTCACATTCAGAACAATGAAATGGCTTCTCTATATATAGGTTTCCTCCAGCGTGAACCTCCTTATGTCTGACAAGACCTGACATCTCTAAAAAAGTTTTATCGCATTCGGAACACTGAAATGGTTTCATGTGAATCATTTGGTGTTTGACAAGGTACGCCCTCTTTGAAAATGCTTTGTCACATTCAAAACACTGATACGGCTTCACTCCAGTGTGAACCCTCTCGTGATTGACAAGACTGGATTTAGTTTTAAAAGCTTTGTCACATTCAGAACACTGATACGGCTTCTCCCCGGTGTGGTTCCTCTCGTGTATGATAAGTTCTGCCTTCCCCGTAAAAGCTCTGTCACATACAGAACACTTGTACGGCTTCTCTCCGGTGTGAATCCGCTCATGCATGATAAGGTTTCCCTTCAACGTAAAAGCTTTGTCACATTTTGAACAACGAAATGGCTTCACCCCAGTGTGGACCCTCTTGTGTCTGAGAAGCAAAGGTTTCACTGTAAAAGCCTTGTTACATTCAGAACACTGATACGGCCTCTCTCCAGTGTGACTCCTCTGGTGTCTGATAAGTTCTGACTTCACTCTAAAAGCTTTCTCACATTCTGAACAGTGATATGGCCTCTCTCCGGTGTGAACTCTTTGGTGCGTGATGAGGTTCGATTTCCATGAAAAAGCTTTTTTACACTCAGAACACTGATAAGGTTTCTCTCTAGTATGAACCCTCTGGTGTATGATAAACTGGGACTTTACAGTAAAAGCTTTGTCACATTCTGAACAATAGTATGGCTGTTTTACATGGTGATCCTTCTGGTGCACAGTAAATGCTGACGTCCATGTAAAAGCTTTGCCAAAGTCAGAATACTGATGCGGGTTCTCCGGTGTGAACGGTCTGGTTTGCAATAAGAAATGCCTCCTGGTTAAAAGCTTGATCAAATTTTGGGCATGGACATGGCCTCTCTCCAGCGGGAGCTCTTTGGTGTCTGATAAGCTGTGACTTTGTTGCGAAAAGTGTCACAATCAGAACACTGAAATGGTTTTGTATGAACCATCTTATGTTTGCGAAGACCTGACTTCCTTAAAAAAGCTTTGTCACATTCGGAACACTGAAATGGTCTTGCTCCGGTGTGAATCATCTTGTGACTGGTAAGAGCTGACTTCTGTGTATAAGCTTTGTCACATTCTGAGCACTGAAATGGTTTTGTTCCGGAGTGAATCATCTTATGTCTGATAAGTTCTGACTTCTGTGTAAAAGCTTTGTCACATTCAGAACACTGAAATGGCTTCTCCCCTGCGTGAACCATCTGGTGTCTGATAAGAGTTGACCTTGTTGTGAAAGCTTTGCCACATTCGGGACACCGGTATGGCTTCTCTCCTGTATGACCCCTCTCGTGTGTTAAAAGATTTCCCTTTGTTTTGAAAGCTTTGCCACATTTGGAACACTGAAATGGCTTCTCCCCTGTATGAACCCTTTCATGCGTGAGCAGTTTTGACATTGCTGTGAAAGCTTTGCCACATTTTGAACAAAAATACCTCTTCACTTTAGTGTGAGCCCCCTGGTGTCCAAGGTTTGGTGGCAATGTAAAAGCTATGAGGCATGGTGGGCCCAGATAAAGCTTCCCTTCTGTGTGTTCCATCTGGTATTTAGTTAGGTTTGATTTTGTAGTATAACCTTTGTCACCATCCAAACAAGATATAGCTTCTCTCGAGTGCGATGTAAATCCGTTGTCACTTTCAAAACCCCAGAATTATTTTTCTCCTGTTGCCCTCTAAAGCTGGATCAATGCAGAAGAGTATCCAAAACAATCATGACATTTAAAAACACAAATATGGCTTGTGTCCACTTTCAGTCTCAGAACACCCATATGGACTTGTCACCAGTTGTGACTATGAAGACCAACCTGACCAAAAACCTGGTTCACCAATCCACCTGTACAGAGATAAAAAAAACAACATTTGGTAAGTTTGGCTATAGTAAAGATGCTTTCTTTCATTTAAATGTTGTTATTAAATTTAAAAATAGTATGCGATATTAATGTTGAAGTTTTTTTGTATTTCATAGGGAGCACGCTATTATTCCCATTTATTTCTTTTGGTTGGTATGCAGGCTAGATTCATGTGCACTAAGTTTGTTTCTAAGATACTTATCAAGAGTTCCCTCTTTGGAATATATGTCCCCTCACTACTTTGATTACCATGCTGTCTTTTTGGTGACTTACTCACATTGGGTCTGGATGGTTCTCCACTGGGAAGTTGGTCTTTTTACTTTAAGATTATGTAGTGCCTTCTTGTGTACATTGTGAGTGTAGTTAGAGGCTTGTTAGAATCCTGAGTGTAAGTCAGAGGGCTTACTTCCAGTCAGGCTGGAGGGCTTTACAGGTCAGTCTTCTGGTACCTCCCCTGATTCTAGAAGCTTGGAGAAGTTTCTAAAAGTTAGTGGGTGAAGGCCAGGAGGAGCTGATCTGCATATTCATGGGAGTCTCACCAATCTCAGGCAGGAGGACTGGTAGTGTGGCAGACTGGCCCATAAATATAGGAGAGCCTGGCCAGCAGAGCAGTTGGGGGAAAGATGGGAGTGCTGAGGTGTACTGCTGTGTAGCCTGGGAGGGGACCCCGGAGAAGGGGGTTCTCCAGGCTGGAGATTGGAAGGATGGGAGAAGGAAGTTGACAGAGGGAGCTCCACTGCCCTACAGATCACTGAGGAAGGACAGCCTGTTAGCCTGGAAGGAAACCAGTCCATTGGAAAGCCTGAAAGCAGCTTATCCAAGGCTACAAGACAGAAGGACAGTGCGAGTACCTCTACACCCCCGGAGCCTACAGGAGAAAGTACTACTAGGTTCCATAACCAACCAGTTCCCCCTGGTGCAGGGCTTCGAGTCTGTTCCAAAATCTCTTGCTCTGGGATACTCTTCAAGGACAGCAGGATGGATGGGTAGCTTCTAGTTAGGCTCTGAAGAGGTTCACTTAGAGGGGTTCTCCTCACAGAGACTGTATTACTGATCCATCAAGAGACTGATGCCACTCTGAAGGGAATAAAAAGTCCAGGATACTACATTTTTTTGTACAGAATTTAGGAAGCTTGTCCTCAGAATATTGATTTCAAGTCAAGTTGTTTACCCCAAATAAAACAAAAAACAAGCCCATGGACTGACTCTGACTGGAAATTGGAAAATGCATGTTGCCTGGCCATGCAGGAAAATAGGGGGACCCAAAACCAGAAGCTCTCAAGGGTGTAGTACTAGAATTATGTGTACTAGACCATTAGCTGTTTATTGAATGTACCCTAATTTTCTATCCGAGATGCAGTGGTTTCACATTGGCTTGCTCATTTTCACCTCTATGAACAACATACACATGCTATGAATTCCAGACTGCCCGACTGGCTGATCTTACTGATTAGGAAGGGGCTCCAGTGTATGGATTTAGTCATGTGCTCCCAAAGAAGGATTATTAAACATGTCGAGTCCACATGAGAACTGTAAGCGGAATCTTTGCATGTTTTGAACCCCTATGTGGAGAGTAATTTTTAATGTTGTGTATTAGATTTTTAATGGTACATAATAAAGTTGTTTTTATGGTACAGATACTCCTCATTTACTGGCCAAATTCCGATACAACAACTTAGTCAACAGTTGTTAAGAAAATTGGTAGGTAACCGAGGAATTGTACACAGCACATGTACTGTCGGAGGGCGGGTCGTAAGTCTGAAAGACAGTTGTTAAGTGAGAAACTATATGCACGAAAGCGAGTCGTATGTCTGAGAGCTGGGCAGAAGTCCGAGAGGCGGTCAGAAGTCCGAGAGGCGGCCAGAAGTCCGAGAGGCGGCCAGAAGTCCAAGAGTTGGTTGTATATTTGAGAGGCGGCCAGAAGTCCGAGAGCTGGCAAGAAGTCCAAGAGCCGGTCGTATATCAGAGCCAGTCAGAAGTCTGAAAGCAAGCCAGAAGACCAAGAGTAGATCTTATATCTGAGAGCCGGTCAGAAGTCTGAGAGCCAGCCAGAGGTCAAAGAGTAGATCTTATATCTGAGAGCCGGTCAGAAGTCAAAGAGCCGGTCAGAAGTCTGAGAGCCAGCCAGAAGTACGAGAGCCAGCCAGAGGTACGAGAGCCAGCCAGAAGTACGAGAGCCGGCCAGAAGTACGAGAGCCGGCCAGAAGTACGAGAGCCGGCCAGAAGTACGAGAGCCGGCCAGAAGTACGAGAGCCGGCCAGAAGTCCAAGAGGCGGCCAGAAGTCCAAGAGCCGGTCGTATATCAGAGCCAGTCAGAGGTCTGAGAGGCGGCCAGAAGTCCGAGAGGTGCTCAGAAGTCTGAGAGGTGCTCAGAAGTCCAGGAGCTGGTTGTATATTTGAGAGGCGGCCAGAAGTCCGAGAGCTGGCAAGAAGTCCAAGAGCCGGTCGTATATCTGAGAACTGGCCAGAAGTCCAAGAGCCGGTCGTATATCAGAGCCAGTCAGAAGTCTGAAAGCAAGCCAGAAGACCAAGAGTAGATCTTATATCTGAGAGCCGGTCAGAAGTCTGAGAGCCAGCCAGAGGTCAAAGAGTAGATCTTATATCTGAGAGCCGGTCAGAAGTCAAAGAGCCGGTCAGAAGTCTGAGAGCCAGCCAGAAGTACGAGAGCCAGCCAGAAGTACGAGAGCCAGCCAGAAGTCCGAGAGCCAGCCAGAAGTCCAAGAGCCGGCCAGAAGTCCAAGAGCCGGCCAGAAGTCCAAGAGCCGGTCGTATATCAGAGCCAGTCAGAAGTCTGAGAGGCGGCCAGAAGTCCGAGAGGCGCTCAGAAGTCTGAGAGGTGCTCAGAAGTCCAGGAGCTGGTTGTATATTTGAGAGGCGGCCAGAAGTCCGAGAGCTGGCAAGAAGTCCAAGAGCCGGTCGTATATCTGAGAACTGGCCAGAAGTCCAAGAGCCGGTCGTATATCAGAGCCAGTCAGAAGTCTGAAAGCAAGCCAGAAGACCAAGAGTAGATCTTATATCTGAGAGCCGGTCAGAAGTCTGAGAGCCAGCCAGAGGTCAAAGAGTAGATCTTATATCTGAGAGCCGGTCAGAAGTCAAAGAGCCGGTCAGAAGTCTGAGAGCCAGCCAGAAGTACGAGAGCCAGCCAGAAGTACGAGAGCCAGCCAGAAGTACGAGAGCCAGCCAGAAGTCCAAGAGCCGGCCAGAAGTCCAAGAGCCGGTCGTATATCAGAGCCAGTCAGAAGTCTGAGAGGCGGCCAGAAGTCCGAGAGGCGCTCAGAAGTCTGAGAGGTGCTCAGAAGTCCAGGAGCTGGTTGTATATTTGAGAGGCGGCCAGAAGTCCGAGAGCTGGCAAGAAGTCCAAGAGCCGGTCGTATATCTGAGAACTGGCCAGAAGTCCAAGAGCCGGTCGTATATCAGAGCCAGTCAGAAGTCTGAAAGCAAGCCAGAAGACCAAGAGTAGATCTTATATCTGAGAGCGGTCAGAAGTCTGAGAGCCAGCCAGAAGTACGAGAGCCGGCCAGAAGTATGAGAGCCGGCCAGAAGTACGAGAGCCGGCCAGAAGTACGAGAACCGGCCAGAAGTACGAGAACCGGCCAGAAGTACGAGAGCCGGCCAGAAGTACAAGAGCCAGCCAGAAGTACAAGAGCCGGCCAGAAGTACGAGAGCTGGCCAGAAGTACGAGAGCCGGCCAGAAGTCCAAGAGCAGGTCTTATATCTGAGAGCCGGTCAGAAATCCGAGAGCTGGCCAGAAGTCCGAAAGCCAGTCATATGTCCGAGCAGTCACAACACCTTAGAGCCTTTCATAAGCACGAGCGATCACTAAACAGGTTGTTATGTGAGGAGTATCTGTACTCTATACTTCTATATGCCCAAAGTCCATGACTACATATTCTCGAGCGGTCACTAAACAGGTAGGTCGTTAAGTGAGGAGTATCTGTACTCGGTTCCTCTTCTATATACCCACACAAAGTCCATGATTACATATTCTGAGTCATCGTTTGTACATGATTTGCTAGTATGTGGACATACAGCACACACAGTCTGGGCTTCTCTCCCACTATAGCTATTGGTTGGTATCATTTCATTCATTTTTTGGTCCCATTTGAAGCATTGTGGTGCATTTTCAGCACAGAAATTGTACAATAAATCAGACTTAGCGTGTTCAGTGTTGTGGGGATTTGGTACAGCAGCTTTTTTTCTCTAATAATGGTTTTATGAAGCTCACAGGTCTTTACTACAAACACAACACGGCTTTGAGGATTCGGACCTTCCACAGTAGATGATTACAACTCTACTCGATCTATTAAATAAATTGTTCAGGGTCCTTTGGCTTCTAATGTAGAACAGAGTAAAATAAAGAGACCTGTCAACAATACAGGTTGTATTGCCCCACCTTGACAAAAACTTCTCATGGATGACAAATACTTTAGATGGTATTACTTTTTTAAACATTTTTAAGTTGAACAGTATGAGAGATGAAACCTCAGTAAATAAGCTGCCCAACTTCTGGCAACCATTTACCATAGGTGTCAAACACAAGGCCCAAGGGCTGAATCGGCCCACCAGGCCATTACATATTAGCTTTTCACCTCTCCTGCAGCTGCAGCACCCTCCCCATCTCTACCCCCACCTTGTCTCAGCAATCAGCAGCAAAAAGGGGACAGAGCTCCTCCTACAGATCTGTGCCTCTCTGTGTGGCTACAGCACCTCTGTCTCCATCTATCCTGGTTTCAGGATTCAGCAGACTCCAGCCCTCCACTAGACCCTGCACGTTTTTACTTCCCAGCTCCCCCCAAAAGCAGCAAGGGGGGGTGCACTGTGATGT